ATTAAATGGTCAATAATACATAAAATATCAAACTTATCTAAAAGTGTATCTTTACAAGTTTTCACGTACAAAATATTGTTTTGTCAAAAAATATGTATTATTTTAACTGGCTAACAAAATATTACATGACATTTAAAGAGATTTGAGCCTCAAATAATTGATCAATTAAAAAACGAATCAAGGTTGTCTGAAGTCTCTGTATATGTTTCGACAATATGTGATCACTTTAAAAGAGCCTTAAAAAGTACTTACTCTTTCAGTTTTTTGTTTGAGTGGTACTTCTCAAAACACTCACCAATATGAAAACCTGGGTGGTTTGAACACGTTTTACAAAAAAACTTACTTCGTTTCCTCTCTTTCCCTGGTCTTCTGTCACTACACACGGCACAGTTTTTGGATTTTCCAACTTCAAGATGGTATGGCAGGTGTAACTTCCCATTTAGCCTTTCGTCCTCTTGAGATGTGGAAGGTCTTCCTCTCTTATTCATGTTCCTGATTTCACCAACAAGGTCTTTTATAAGCATTTTTCTGAACTTGCGCTGCTGCACTTTGACTTGCTGGTTACAGTTGAACAGTATGAAAGAGTTCATGACAGCTGTTTCCAACAACCAAAAGAAAACCTTCTTCCACCACTTGATGGATTTCCTTGTGAAGGAGTAAGATGAGATATACTGATCAGCAATGTCAACGCCTCCCATTGAACGATTGTATTTACAAACTACTGTAGGCTTCCTGACTTCTTCTTGAACTCCCTTTTTCTTTATACGACTTACTGTCTGCATTTTATTGTCATACAAAGTAGATAATATTATCACTAGGTTGGAATCTTTCCACAGCAACAGAACCATTTTGTCTTCTTTTCTAAAGGTCTTAACTTCTCCTTTTTTTAGAACTAGTTTGGCAACTTGCTGTTCCTTTTCCTTAGTTTGCTTTTTTCCACCTTTGCCCTTTTCCTTCTTCTTTCTTTGTGGTCTTACTTGTTCCGGCAGTCCCCTCCTGTTGGGCAGGATAGTCCCAGTCAAATGTACTTTTATATCATGTAGTACGGTCGCAAGATCTACATTGGTGTAGAAGCGGTCCGTAAAAACATGTAACCCTTCAATGTTTCCGTAGGCTTCTTTCAACTTGTTTACAAGGTGTAAAACTACACGGCTTGTTACACCTAGATCAGCTCTTTCCATTGCTTCTGTTGTACTTTTGCCAAAGTACGGTTCCATTGCACATATGTAGCCTGTACTGGACTCAGATAGTACAAACACTTTAATGCCCCATTTAATTGGCTCGTCCTTGTTATACACTTTAAATACTATTCAGCCTTTGAAGCCTACAGTGCTTTCGTCTATGCTCACCTTCTTTTGTGGCATATAAAACTCCCTAAATTTTTTGTCAAGATATGCCACGACATTCCTCACCTTCCCAGATCTAGTTAGGGTTCCTCTTATTGGTCCTGTTTGAGGAGGACTCACGTGGAGTGTCCAGAAAATCTGCAAAAATCTTTCTTTGCTTAGGACATCTTTGAAAAAAGGTTGGTAGTCGACCCAATCAGTTGAGAAATAATCATTTATTTCTGGTTTATCATGCATACCCATGTTTAATAGAACACCTATGAAAGCCCTGAACTCGGGTACTGTTACGTCTTTCCATGACCACCACATAGATTTCTTCTGAAGGGGAGTTTTTTCAAAATCTTTTCCTTTGCATAACGATTAGTTTCCTTGACGATTTCATTAAGCAAGTCGTCGGTAAAAAAAAGCAGAAAAATATCTAAAGGGGATTTAGGGGTTTTTCCTCGTGGAGGTTTATAGCCGGAATCATTTGTCCATTGAAATTTGGCAAACGCATTGTCACCATCTATCCAATCTCGCCACCCGTCACCAGCTGCGGCTCCATTCTGCCCTTGTTCATTTCCGTTTTCTCCTTGACGCCTGGCGTTGATTTCCCCAGTTTCTCCCACTTCTACTTGCTTGTCAGTTAGCACATAACCACCTATATTTTCTTCCCTATTACTACCATCTTGAAAATAGAGATGGTCACCAAGGATGTCCTGCCAATTTGCGATGTTACGATGGTCTGGACGGTCATCATTATCGAATTCCATACTTTCTTGTCCGTTTGGTCGATCTTCTCCATTTTCATTGAACAACTCTGGATCATCTATATACTCTTCATTGTCGTAATAGTCAGTTTCATTTAGGGCATCATAAAACACGCCTAATTCTTCACGAAGTTCATTATCAAAGTGCTCGCCGACGTCTGAATTTACATCACTATCATGTTCTGAGCTACTGCTTTCACCATTACCAAGATCTTCTTCAAACAACAAGTCCCTCACTTCATCGGAACGCAAACTTTTATCCATGATGTTGTTTTAAAAACATACTAATAACTACAAAACCGTGTACAAATCTAAAACTGTGCAATCACTATAACTAATTAAAAAGATATTCTGTAATAACTAACAACGAAAAATGCACTAAAAGGTTATAAATACTACTTCACTCCAACTTCGTAAACACTGAAACAACAAGTGACATGGCGTGATACATAGCTTCCGATCGATACGTTTTTTTCCTTTTCTTGGCGTTAAAAAGGCGGGAATTGCATTCGCTAATGTAGTTTAAGAGTTACTCGATAGATTGCAGCACTCATCAGACATCCTACTATACCTATTATTAAACAAATATAAAAAATGTGTTGTGGGCACTGGCACAGGCCATCCGAGCGGAATTCAGATTTTGTTATGGGCACTATGCGTGGCCATCCGAGCTGTGAGACACAACGTTGCCGTATTAATTCTGAGCTGACACGATAATGGCGATGGCCACTATATGTGGACATCCGACTGCGTAGGACAGACGTTAAATGACCTCTCCGAGCGCAAAGGGTTAACTCGCTTTCTTGCAAATTTTGATACTTCCCGATGAGCTAGAGACTTGAAACTTGAAACATAGCTCACAAATGGATGACGATGCAATATTATATCATTTAATTTTCATATTTCCCTTGGGCTAAGCCCCATGGGCTTGTTTTTATTAGCTTGCTAGTCGCTTTCCTACAAATTTTGATTTCAATTTTAAACTAAGTTCCCGATTAGCTAGAGACTTGAAATTTGAAACATAGCTCACAAATGGACGACAATGCAATATAATATAATTTAATTTTCATATTTCCCTTGGGCTACGCCCCATGGGCTTCCAAATTTTCCATGTTTTTACATTTTGAAAGAATGTAAATATATTAATTAATTAAAGTCAGCTGTAAATACTTAAATTTGACAGTTCGAAGAGCAGAGGTTAAGAGGTACAGGTTATGCTCCCAAGAGATTCTTTAAACAAACAAACATTTCAAAATAAAGATTGATATATTTATAGTAAGTAGGTAGGTTATACATTCAATCTAATACATAATTATATGAAAAGAAACTCAAATAAACCTTAGATTTCCCACATGCCTCTGTCTTAATCTGATATAGATGCCTGAAATAGATTTAACATCCACACACATTAAAAACTAAAAAGTAGAAAATAATTTATAAATAAAAAACCTTTTTAAAACAAAACGTTTTTAAACGTACTAAAAAGTAGAAAATAGTTTATAAATATGTGAAGAGTATAAATACTTGTAAGATTTAAAACGAAAAACGTGGGGTGCATGCAATTGATAATAATACATTAGTTCAATAGGTGAAGGTAATTGTAAATTATCTATTTTATGCACCCCACGTTTTTGGTTTTAAATCTTAGAGGTATTTATACTCTCCACATATTTATAAATTATTTTCTACTTTTTAGTGCGTTTAAAAACGTTTTGTTTTAAAAAAGTTTTTTATTTATAAATTATTTGTTAAACTTTGAAGAATTAATTTTGTTATTATATACACCAATGAGGGCTACTTTAAATGTTACTAAGTAAATTAAAATACCAAAGTACCCTAAAAACATTTTATTTTATATTACTTACACGTGTTTCTAATTTATAGAATTAAATACAGTTCCATTTGACAGATTTTATTAAATAATAGGTCAATGGAAAGCTTCATTCATGTAGATTTGCAAATAGTTATGAAAATTATATTTTTAAAGATTTATGGCTGTTATTAAAAAAAACCATTGTTATGTGTTTTATTGTTATTTTGGCCCATGGTTTGGCGGTATGCATCATCTATCATATTAAACATGTTTTGATAACTTAACGGCTGATATTGTATTGTTGTATTGTTATTTCATTAGTTTTTCTATGTTTGCATGTTGTTCACAATTTGAATTTGTGGTTAAAGTGCGTTCCTTATGTTATGTGTGTGTTTCTAAAGTTATGTGTTTAATCTGTACCATTAATAATAGTCAGTAAAGTGGTACATGAATTTCATAACTGTTATTTTTCTAGAGACCGTTGTATTTAACCGCAACGGGCTCTTTTGCTAGTCTATATATATAAAGCTAGGAAGGTTTTGAACTTTTGAGAAAACCGTTAGCCGCACACCTATCACCTGCAAATTTGAATGAAAGATTTTGATGTGAAACTTCCCCGAAAAATAGTTCAGTTTTTCAATAAACCCTCTCCTAAGGGCAAGAACCTCAATTTATGTCGTGCAATTTTAATCATATTTAAAATATTGGGGATACATCAGCTGTTAGATTTGTTTCTGTTTTAGTTTGTTTCTTTTCTTTTCCTTGAGTTAATCTTTTGATTCTACCATTACCATGGAAAAAAATGTTTTGTATGTAATAAGTGATACCAAGAACCATAGTTTGGATGGAGCCTTAAGTGTTCCAACTGGAAAAAACGCATCTGTAGAGTATTATTTTACCTTGCGACATGGTCATTGGTAAAATTAATTAACATCAAAAACAAGAGCTCAATTGTCCAGCAGTTTGGATTGGGCAAGGCGGTGAAGAATCACCATATCTTCTGTGTTCTCTCCCCATGGCAAGGCACGGGCAGAACAACTAGTATGTGTATAGATAACATGGTTACCACATATTTTATTCTTTTATTTATAGAAACATGAGGATTTTGATATTGCTCTGGCCAAGTACAAGATGGCTGCTCAACACCGCCCTGAGTCAGCTGCACTGTGGAACAACGTTGGAATGTGTTTCTTTGGGAAGAAGAAGTACATAGCTGTGAGTTACTATTGACAAGTTTTATTAAGAAAAGATCTGAGTAAGGTCCTTTTTAGCGAATTTCCCTATAGGTAAGTAGCTATTACCGTCGGTGGCACGGTAAGACCTTGGCCCGGGACTGATTTACTTTTTCATTTTAATGTCCCTAGAGGCAAAAAACACCACTCGTTGAAATTGTTATTTGTATACAGTGTGTAAATTAAGTATGGAAACAAATCTCTATTTTTAAAACCGAAATAGATAGAAATATTCTGTTATGGCATGATTGTTAAAAAAGGTTCCACAATCTTTTACATAAAAAAAAATTCGTAACAGGGTTAGCGGAAGGGGGGGATTTATTATTGTTTTCAAATAGCAACCCCTATTGAGTGACCCGTAAGAAAATACAGACTTTGTTTCCATATTTGTGAAATTGGTGCTTTTGCTCATAAATCAAATTTTGGAATACCTGCCACTTAGCTAGGGGTGAGATATCTACCTCGGGTTTGCGTCAAAATGTATTTCTTTTGACAAACTCTTCAAAATGAGGGTTCACTTAATAGGGGCTACTATTTGAAAAAAATAAGTCACCCCCTACCACCAACCCTGTTAGGGGGGTTAAAAAATATGGTAATGTAAAATATTGCGGAACCTTAGTTAACAATCAATGCCCTAAACAGAATATTTCTGTCTATTTTGGTTTAAAAAATACAGATTTGTTTCCATACTTAATTTACACACTGTATTTGAAATTAATGAAAAATCCTTTATTTGTTCAGGTAAAGTTAGGGCCACATGGCCCTTTCTTACACTTGAACACAATACCTTGAGTCATTTTTGTCCGATTTTCATGGAATTTGGCTTTTAGGTGTATGTATGGCGGGATAAACTTGAATGAACCCGCGAACAAGCATAATCAGTGTAATCAGAATGGGGTTTTACGGAGTGAAAATAGTTTTTTCCCATTTTAACCCTGAAAACATACAATTTATCAATTACATTCAAACCCATTTTGTAGAACTAAAAAATACAAATAATTTAGTATATTGAAGTGTCTTTTTTTTACAATTATTTGTTACGGAGAAAATTTAAAAAAATGTAATCTTTAAATTTTCATATATTCTTATGGAGAATAAGTAAACTGTTGAAGTTTGCTTTTTTATGGATATATTTTGACCAAACTTGGCAAATTTATTTATTTTATACTAAGCTATAAATATTTTACCAAAAATAAACTTTATTACCCTCTCTGTAGTAGCAAACCTAGGTGCTCAGTAAACGTAATAAATATATTTAAGTGAAATCAAATTAGTTTGCAGGTTTGCTGCAGCGGAGGTATTTAATAGTAGTGTTGATAGAGTTTTGACTAGCCGGCTAAGCTTTGCCCTTAAGTTTAAATAATTGTTTGAAATAGCTAATGTGTATTAACTTACCATGATAATACTTAAACATATTTTATTTTATTATATTCATATTACTCATTAACCCAAATTAACGTAAATGTAAGTCCTATTTTAAACCCTTTTCCTTTACTGTTTGCTGTTACATAGTGTTACAATATTGAATTAAACTGTTTATTTTGCTTATTAGACAATTAGCTGTCTCAAGATGGCCAACTACTTGTCTCCGTTGGACTGGAAGACCCTATACAACCTAGGGCTGGTGTACCTGACATGTCGTCAGTACGCGTCTAGCTTTGTCTCTCTATCTGCTTGTGTCAAACTGAGACAGAGGCATGCTCCGTCGTTCATGCTGCTGGCATGTTAGTACATTATGTTGTCTACTTACTTTCACTTACTTCATAGCCCCTCTAATACAAGGCCGCGGCGAGATAAAAGAGGTTGCCACACACCATCGCCGCAGCCTTGTATTAGAGGAGGCTATGCTTACTTATTAAGTCTGAATGCTATTGTTTCAGTTTTAAGGTCGATTCACACACATCATTTATATTTATGCTAATGCTAAATTATGGAAAATGTGCTTGTCACACAGTCCAGTCACTTCAAGCACGTCGTAGTTAACAAAAATATTCTTTAATAAATTTTCTATTAAGAATAATAATAAGAATAAGAATCATTTATTCCATTGATCTTTTTACAAAGAAATAGGACACGTCATATACATTACAAAATAATCATCCAAATACAATCAAGTTTCTGATACATCCAAATAATATAAAAAGTACAATTAATTAGGTATAATAGCTTATTTTAATTAAAATTTACATCAAAATTACACTTTATAAAGTCACTTATGCTGTAGAAAGGATTTTGAATTAGCCAATTATAAATTCTATTTTTGAAAATATTGTAATCAACAAATTTTGCACTGTCAGGTAGTTTATTAAAAAATTGAATTGAGTTAATTTTGAAAGAGTCACCCGTTTTAGCCAGTCTATGAGGTTTCATGCTGAGCTTGCCTCCACCCCTAGTATTGTACTCATGAGTGTCAGATCTAAGGGGGAAAGAATGCAAGTTTGACTTGGTGTAGAGTAAAACTTGAAAAATGTACAAATTAATTACTGTTGGAATCTTTAATTGTATGAAAAGAGGTTTACAATGAGATAGGGATCTTGAATTAGCAATATTACGAACTGCCTTTTTTTGAATCGTCAAAATATCAGCTACATGAGGGGAATGTCCCCAAACTATAATGCCATAGAGTATGTGGGACTGAAACAGACCAAAGTACGATAGTCTCAAATATTCTTGGTTAACAAATTTTTTTAATTTCCATAATAAGCAATCTACTCTTGATAACTTTTTGCAAACCGCCTCAATATGATTTGACCAACTTAATTTTGAATCAATGTGAAATCCTAAAAGCTTGACAGAATCTAGACTAATTTCCTGCTTGAGACACAATGTCAAATATTGTGTCTTTTCAAGATTAGAATGTAGCTCATTTGAAGAAAACCAAGCAAGAGCCTGTTCCTCAGCTTCTGCAGTGACCTGTTTCAGGTACTCTAAGTTTTTGTGACTGGCTAGTAAAGTGGTGTCATCAGCATAAATTATTGAATGGATATTGAGATTTTGAGACAAGTCGTTTATGTATACTAAGAAAAAGAAAGGGCCTAAAACAGAACCCTGAGGGACACCGGTCTCTACAGGTTTCATAGCAGAACATTTATTTTCAACTGATACATACTGTTTTCTGTCATACAAATATGATTGAATAATTTTTATTGTGCCATCTTCAATGCCATAATATGATAATTTACGTAGTAATACATCAAAAGGAACACTATCAAAAGCTTTACTGAGATCACACAAAACTAGCGAAACCGACTCCTTATTTTCAAATGCATTTAGTGATAAATCCGTCAAGTTAAGTACTGCCGAGGTGGTAGACTTACCAGGACGGAAACCATGCTGGCATTCAGAAAATAAATGTTGGGACTCGAAAAAATAACTAAGTTGATTGTACATTAGAGATTCAAATATTTTAGAGAATATCGGAATAATAGAGATAGGTCTGTAATTATGATGTAAATTTTTATCTCCTTTTTTAAAAACTGGAATTACTTTAGATATTTTGAGCAATGAGGAAAAGTATCCTTCTGACATACATTTGTTAAAAATAAAAGCAAGTGGCTCACTTATTATATGGATGGTTTGTTTCAGTATTGTGTTAGACAGCCAATAATAATCCATTGAATTAGAGTTGGAGAATTTAGATACTACACTTGTATTACATCAGTTGAGGAAATTTCTGACCATGTGAACATTGTTGTGTTTTTTTGGAATACTACTCAAGAGTTCTACTGGATTATTGGGACCGAGATTAGTTCCTTTGCTTAACTGATTTATTGAGTCTATAAAGAAATTGTTAAATTCATCCGGATCTAAATTGACATCAGAACTGTGAGTTGGAGAAAACTCACTGCTTATAACTTTCCATGCAGCCTTGCAGGAATTTGAGGCATTGCTTATATACTGCTCTACAGCAATTTTTTTAGCTTGCAGAAGTTCCCTTTGATATAATCTTTTTTGTTGCAAATAAACATTATGACCTATTGCGCTATCTATACTCATCCGTTGCAGTTCCGTCAGTCCCTCTGCTGGCTTCTGTCAGTCAATTTCAGATTTATTTTCAACGATAGTTTTGGATTGTTCAGACGCCTGATGGACATGTTTGAGGTTAGAAAATAGTACTTTTTTTATTCAAATGATAGAGTTTATATTTTGAGTAATGTTTGTTACAATCAATAAGACGGATGATGAAAACTTGATAGAATATTGTGTTTTAAATAAACATTTTTGACTGTAACAACACTGTAAATAAAGTGACAGAAGAGTGACTGAAACCAAATGACTGACAGTTTGACTGAGAAATTGCGGATGCAACTGTGACTGGACTGTAACGGAACTGTGACTGGACTGATATGTGTGAATCGACCTTTAAGTGCTTTTCATTTTTTGCCATAGACAGACCTTTTCTTTCTATAGATAGATGCACCTTTTAGTCGTCCAGAGCAGAGTTATTTGCTATTTAACCCTTTGAGTGTCCTGCAACGATATATCGTTGTGCACGTTTTGTCCAAAAAGTGCTTTGCAACGATATATCATTGTGTATCTTGCTTCCGAAAAGTGTTATGCAACGATATATCGTGGTGACGTAATTATTTAACTTAACCCTCCGAGTGTTATGTGTCGTAAAAGCGACTCATAACACACTTTGTGTAGTGTTTTGTGTCGCTTTTGCGACTCACAAACACTGTTTACGGCGAAGGCTCTATGACTGACTAAATCGAATTGAACTGGATCGAGTTAGGTATAGTTTTTTTGGCAGATTCTAAGCTTTCTCCCGAGGTCTGTCTCTAAGAGCTTTTTTTTCTCGAGCCGATCATAATTGTAGCAGACAGCTGACGTGCGTATTTGTAAACAGCTTGGTTAACCTCGCACCGATGACTGATGTGTTTTATTACGTTTATCATTGTTTTAGTGTAAAAAATCAAAAGTAGTGATATACGTGGTGCATTATAAGAAGATTTAAGTGATTTCGAAGGGCTGGTTGATGATCCTGAAGAAGTAGGTAGTGATATTGATGTAAATTATCAGCCAGATTCCTAGCTATGGTTAGGCTATGCATTCTTAGCTAAACGCTATGTACCGAAATCTGTTTTTTGCCTATAACTTATTTATTTGCAAATCTACTTCCTTATATTATTATATTTTTGGAATCCTCATAAAATTCTGAACAAAGTGGCTATTTTTAAATATTTGTAGACCTATAAATTATTACAATTTATTGAGCGCAAACATAAATTTTGTTCATTTATTTTATAATTTTTGAGAAATGTTAACCCCACAAAAATTGTTGAACATATTTTTTGTAATGTTTTATATGTTACATTGAAGCCCATAATTTTCCAAACAAAATTATTATGAAACAGTATACTTTACATTGTTTTTAAGTTTCTAAGATACATTTTAATAAAACCCTGCGATTGCGCAATAAATGGGCGAACATTAAGACCAAAACTAGAGACACTTGTAGGGTTAAGCTTTAATTTTATGAGTACAATCCCGTGGCTTGAAGCATATGAAAAAAGATTAAATTCCCGTTGAATATTAAGAGAGAGGGGTGGACTCAGGGTCCTAGTACGTCAACCGAAGCTTACTGTGCATAACCCAATTGCCACTAACTGGTAAGCCTATACCCATGTCCTTGACCAGGTGCATGTCCAAAGCAGGTGCTTTTGTCCAATATTAGCCTCTGATTCATCCCCTGGCTGCTTTAGACCAAACAGGGTCCGTCTCCTAGCCCCCAAGTCTGTTGCAGTCCAGGATATTGTGTTTTGCAGTCTCATCAGACTGGTTGTAAAGTCGACACTCCTGATTGTCAACGATTCCTAGAGTGTGGAGATGTTTCCTGAAATGGCCGTGTCCAGTGATTAGAGCAAGTACCTGCTTGACCTGCCCTCTGCCCCGCTTTAGCAGCCAGCGAGTAAAGAGGGTGCTAGGTTATTAGGAAAAGAGGTGCTAAGTGATTGTCCACGGTAATTACGCCAACACTCTAGGTGTTGTTCCCTGGACCATTTGTTTATTGCATGTTTGGCGGTAGCTTTGCTGATGCCACAGGCTCCGGTGCAAGGAATGGCATGATCGCACCGTTTTTTGCTACCTTTTCTGCACTCTCGTTGCCACCTATGCCTATATGGGCCAGAGCCCAGCCGAGAGTTAGAGAGTTGTGTGTGTGGAAAGTTTGCAGAGGGTGTTGAAACACTCCTAGACTAGCTTTGACTTCATTTGAGTCAAGCGCTTTAAGAGAAGCCTGACAATTCCCGTTGTATACATAAACATTGTAAATTTTATTTACTTTATTTATATAGTACCTTTTACAAACACTGTGCAGATTCGGTAAGGCGGTAAGCCGGCTGACGCGAACACAGTAACAGTGGCAGCGACTAACAACAACTGTTTTGTACGTGCAGGTTATGTTGTTATTTGTGAAAGTAAATTGATTGTTCCTGGATAGGCTTGGATAGGCTGGATAGGCCTGGATAGGCTAAATTCGTTGTTGTTGTGATTGTGATTAGTTATTGTATCTAGGTTAAAAATTAGTAAAAGACTGTGTCGTTCTCCTATAAGTGAAAGTACGTTGATGGAGTTTGTCCTATGAAAGTGGACTGAACTTACATTTTATCGATAGCAATGACAATGCTGTACAGTCAGACGATGTTATAGACAGTATCAGTGATTCTTATATGAGTGATGATCCCGTAGATTATGCAGACGATGATCCTACATTTGATCCTGA